CAAACGCAAAAATGACCACCATGGTTAGGCGTAGTGTCAACCGACCATATTATGCCAGATGCCAATAATCGTACCCGTGTTCCGAAAAAAGGTACTACCTCCAAAACTAACAAGCATTAAATGTGTGCCTTGACAGTACAAAAGATCATTTAACTATATTAACGATGAAACAACATGTCTGGGTGGGTAAGAGCCTGGGGGACACCGGTAAAACCGTTTGGCATCCGTGGGACCACAAACAATCTAGCTATGGAAACTGACATTAATCCCATCACTGAACGTAGTCCAATACCTCGCATGTAAACACTCGAAGAAGGATGAAATGGAGGCATACCCAATGCCGCACCACACATCTAAGTAATAGGAAGCAAGCTTCCCCAACCAGTAACTCAAAAACTTAAACTGATAACTCAGGAGAAGAAGAATAGGAAGCACACTACCTTAACTGGTAACTTAGGAGAAGAAGAAAATGAGCTTAAAGAGTCAAAGAAATTACATTGCTACAAAGCTATGTAAATGATGTTTATGTAAGAAAATGCAAAACTTATAGGAAAAGGAAACTGTACTACGAATGTAGGTTAGTGCATACCTTGCTACCGATAGTTTCGACGAGCCTATAAAAAATTAAGGCATTGTTGGAACTTGGACCAGAGGAAGAAGTTATCACAAGAATGGGAAAGCAAAATAAATAACACAAAACCCACCATACAAGAATCGCCAACCCAAGGCGTGTCCGTTGGGATTTGATGTGATCTATATGCGCTAGTTTTATACAGTGGAAACAAACAAATAACCCTATGTGTACATGCATCCTAAGGATCTAGGTTTTTAATATAAAAGCAATCTACTTTCAAAATAAGAAATTATTAACCTTTGGTTCCTTTTGATTTCTTGATTGAGATCTTGATAGCCACACTTGCAAAAGATGAAAAAGACCCAAACCAGGAATTCCACTAGTGAAATCACACCCAAAACACCAACTAGCAAAGGGTTCTTTAGGATAAAAGTTAGGATAGAAAATCTAATCTATTTCGTCAGGAGAGAGAGAGAGAGAGAGAGAGAGAGAGAGAGAGAGAGAGAGAGAGAGAGAGAGAGAGAGAGAGAGAGATGGTTTTTGAGCACAAAAGAGAATCATCTGGTTTATAACCCCTAGCATATATTTATAGTCTCAAGTTTAATTCAAATATCCAAGGATAATCCTTATCCTTATGTGAATCACTCCACATCTTTTTATCTCTAGGATAAAATCGATCTCTTTATTATCCTGAGAGGTTATGGAATATTCTAATTAATTACTAATGAACTAATTAATATTCAACTCATTTAATTAATTAAAACAATTAAATTCATTCCAAAATAGTTTTTAATTAATTTATTAATTCATAATAAATTAATAACTTATTTTCTGCTAATTCCTTATTGCTTAATTGGGTTATGAGGGCAACCCAAAAGGACCCTATTATTATTAAAAATATTACCAATTAGTTAATGACCTTGAACACTCAATCCAATAGTCTCCCACTTGGACAAGTCATCAACTACATGTAGTCCAATACTTCCCTAATAATCAGAAGAGAGTGTGCATTCCAATGCAACTGCAAAACTTTGATCTAATCAAGATTCAGTCCTTAGATAAGTGACCGATTATTCTTTTGCTTTAGATATCTATATGAATCTAATATATGGACAAGGTTCTCAATGTTCAAGATTATGTTTCTCGATAGAGATTTGTGATGACTGCATCCGACTACCAAATTGAGCACATCAATTCAGTTAGGACCCAACCAGACACACTAGATGTCAGCACCAAATCATTGACGACCCCATAGGTATTGCTTCTCCTGTTAAGGCAGAAGGAACAAATAAACATAAACTACATGGTTTTTGTCTACTTACCATATCATACATGGGCATACCCTTTATTACTACCAATTATAAATAGCGTTAGAGCAAACCAATACATAACAAATTCGTAGAGAAAAACCCCACATGTATCTTGGTTTGAAGAATAAAAGATATTATCATCTTAGAATTACTCGTGACTTGATCTATGAAGTAATCTCTAAGTGTAGGTTGTTCCAATACTTAGATCTCTATTAAGTAATCATGAGTGTTAGCATAATCTCTATGTTATGTCTAATCTCTAATGATACCCTATCGATGATGTCTCCATCCTCAACATGTATCCTCACGTAGTGGTATTTCTTGAGTATATGTCACACCCCCGACCGAGGCGGCAGAACACGTCGGGTTGTGCGACTAAGTTCATGGATCATAGACAATTGGATATATAACACAAGTACAACAATAAACAAAACAACATTTATATTCCATCTTGATGTTTGAATACATGGTTCTTACATATAATAGTATAGTACATAAATTGCCTTAAACATGTAGGTAGATATAACGAAATAAAACTAGATATTTAAGTCGCCTGAAAATCCATGACTAACCTTCTGTCTGAATGCTTGTTTGATGATATCTTGAGAATACATGTAGTTTAGAGGGTCAACACAAGGTTGGTGAGAGTTACAGGTTTTCTACTAACAACAGTAATACTTTTAAAAGTCTAAAAAATATTTTCTTTGTAAGTGTAACCAAACATAATGTTTGTAAAGAATCTTTGAATAAACTTTGAAAGCCAAAATGTATCTTTGCATAAGTAATTTCATACTTAAAATAGTTTTGAAAGTAATCGAACCCATGGTTTTGTAGTAAGAGAGTTGGATTCTAGTTAATGTTTATAGTGAATCTTATAACCAAACTATGCGACGAGATGTAACCCTTACAACGCTTCATTAGACGTGATAAGTAAAAGTTTAAGATATTTATACTGATAATGTAGTACGATTGAAGTTATACGGATAAACGGATATACACATATACGTATAAAGTCATCTGTCAAGGTTGCAAGTTAGTAACCGTAGATACGGATAAAGTTATGTGTCAAGGTTGTAGTTAACAACTGTAGATACGGATAAACGGATAAAGTTATGTGCCATGGTTGTAGTTAGCAACCGCAAATACAGATGAAGGGATACACAGATAAAGTTGTTTAATAAAGTTTGATTATAAAGGTCATTAACTAAAGTATACAGATATAATTATACGGATAAAAGTCGAGTATGTTTGATAAGTATAAGCGTAACAGTGTATGATATTCGTGTAAATAGGTGACAAATCTTATGTGAGTGTACACAAATACATGTAAGAATCTAAGATACAAGTTTTATAGCTTGTATACATATATATATATATATATATATATATATATATATAGATATATATATATATATATATATATATATATATATATATATATATATATATATATATATAAGCACGATATAATGTTTAAATCTACAGAGTTGATAACCGATTACGACACATGTTTTATGGCAAGCTTTTTATACATAAAAAGTCATAGCACTTTGTAGTAGAAAGATATATCATTTTTATTAGTTGTAATATAATCATAACAACTATAATATATCTATATGACATATGATTACTATTTTATTTGTATATGAGGTGTTATTTAACAAAATAACATATATAAACTAGTTATAAATTTGTAAGTGTTTCTCATAAACTGAATAAATTATAACACATGTATTCTAACTTTTTATACATAAAAGGTCATAACACTTTGTAGTAGAAAGATATATCATTTTTATTGGTTGTAATAAAATCATAACAACTATAATATATCTATATGACTTATGATAACTAGTTGATTTGAAAATAACTTGTTACTTGTTGAAATAACATTTTATAAACTTGATATGAGTTGTAAGTCAAAACAGAAAAATTAATCATGAATAACGATTTTTTCCATGTTTTAGGAAAATTCTAAAAAAATTATCGGGAGCCAGAATTAGGTTTTGTAAACTCTTATGGTTTAGAAATTGAGTCTACTTTGTCCCTAATTTTTTTCCTTGACCTGATATTTACCCTAACTAAGCTAAAAGTGATCGTTTTTTCATACTGGTCCGAAAAAGGACTGCAATGATAGAGAGTTTTGAAAAAATCATAATAAATTGTATAAAAATCATATGAACGTGTGCGAGTAGTCCTTGAAAAGGTATCGATCTGGAATACTTGCATATAAAACAGTTTTGGAAACTATAAGGTTTAAAATGGGCAAAACAGGTCTTGAACAGACCACAATTTTTCACATAAATTGATAGCATTTTGTAGTTTGTTTTCAATAGTGGTTTTGTATGAGCACATATATCCCCCCTCACCAAGACATGTAAAAACATTAAAAATGGTCCGTAAAAACTCACCCTTGATGCGTGATTTGTGAACTAGAGTCGATAGTGCAGTTATCTTTGAGAAACACTTTGAGAAAACACGAACTAGCAGTGATCTAAACCGGGGCTGTTTTGGGCTTGATTTAACCCCACAAAACACAATGAAGACTAAAGTCTTGAACTAGGAAACACCACAAAAAAGATAACAACACAAAGGTGGCATAAGGTGGTGGTGGTTGGTCGTCGAAAATAGGGGCAAAAGGAGGTGGCTGTGGTGGTGGAGTGGTGGTTCTTGGTGGTGGGTTCCAAAAACCAAGAAAAGAGAGAGAATGGAGAGGGGACAGTAAGGAGATTATTGGCTGGTGAATTGGTGATGATAATGGGAACCAAAGCCTTCTATTTATAGTGTATGAAGGCCTCTCACAAGCCATGCACCACCATCCTTTGAAAGAAAGTCCAACACATCACTCATCCATGCTTTGTACAAATTGAGAAGGTGTGTAAGCAACCAAGAAGAGGGAAGGGGGCTATCCCATGTGGGTAAGGCAAGGAGGGGAAGAAAAATCTGATTTTTTATGTCTAGCAAAGTTAGGTGGGCCCCACATCCTCGAAAATCGACTTGGCTGGGGAATCCCTTTGAGGTGAACCAAAACCAATATCATTATAACGAATATCTAACCTTTCGCTTTCACTGTCATTATCAGTTTCAATAACAACTTCATCAAGTGGATCTACCATCTGTCACTTCTTCTTTTTGACCTTTTTGACCATTTCACGAGCTTGTTGTTTCTTGGAAGTAGGTGACACATGAGCAGGAACTTTGCGAATGGGCACACCTCTTCTGTTAAGTTGAGGTTTGTGAATCTTCTTTATCCCCTTCGTTGAAAACACATGCTTAGAAACTTCTTGAACTATTGGCCTTTCAGGAGAATGATGAGGTATGTGAGTAGGCTTATTTGTTCTTTTGAGAATGCTTGTCTTCGAAGGAACGACCTCCTTAGAAACTTCCTTCTCCTCATTCTCTTGAACAAGTTTTGAACCATCCTTCTCCACATGCTCATGAACAGATTTTGGTTGTTCAGTCTTCTTTGTTTTCTTAGAAGCTTTAGCAGCCTTCGATGTAACCTCAACCCCTTTTGTCAAAAGAACCCCAACTGTAACATTTGGGTTAACAGATGTCAAATACTGAACTAGAATCGGATTTGCTGGATCAATCCGTCTTAACATGGCATCGGGAATGCGAGCCACACTCGGAAGAAGAACTGGATCATCAGTAACCAATTTTGGAGCCCGTAACATCGAAAACTCCGCCTTTTCATCTTCTGATGGAACCAAAATCCCTTCCTTTTCATACAAATCCCTTAGGATTAAACTCCAATATCTTGAACAAGAGATACCATTCATTACATTGGTGTGAGAGATTCCTGTACCAAAATCTTCCCATAGCTGAGTAACATAATCGACATTTAAGTCATAATAAAGACATGCAATCATCGCATACACCTCCAACTTCGCCTTATCAAGCATTGAATTACGACCAGTCAAGCATCGTAGAAAAATACCAAATAGAAAATTCCACACACAGGGCAAACTCGACTTGTGAAATTGAGTAATCCCAGTGATAGGAGGTTGATGACCCATCTCATTAAACATAAAAACAACCTGTTCATTCGTAACTTCATAGAATGAACCTGAATATGGAAGTTTCATGATCTGAGCAAACTATTTCTTGGTGAGCTTTTGTAGTTTGTTGTTCGTCAGATGGAAAGTTACAACCTTCGTTTTTTTGTTAAGCACCGCCATTGATCCCACAAGTGATAACCATGTCATAGGAATAGAGAATGATGACGACATAACAGTTGAAAGAACAGAGTAATTTAGGGCTACAATCAGCATCTGTAATTGTTCAGGATATTGAGTAACGTCTGGCTGTAAACGAAGATTTGAACTTTGATTCTTTAGCAATGACTGACAAGTTTCTTCTTCATTTGTGGTGTTGGGAGGATCAATATTTCCAGTAGGAGCTGCCATGGTTAGGGTTTGCAAAAGTTGCTTGAAGATGATGATCTTTAAAGAATTTTGGGAAAAATTTAATAAGAGAGCATAAAGTCTTCAAATTAAACCACCAAATTCCTTTTATAGTCGACGTATAATTTGAATTTGAACCGATAACCAATCTGATTATGCCACATGTTGCATTGGTTATGGGGTCGGTTACCGTAAAAGTCGCCATGTTAGAAAAAGTGATCATCATGATTTCCTAAAATCCCGTGAAATACTGAACCGTCACATCCGCCAAACGTTTCGTTGTTCCCAATGAGATAAGAACTATCACATGTTTCGAATTGTGGAACAATTACACCATAAAGTTTCGTCATCAAGAGAACACCAGGCCTTAGCTTTGAGGTTAGGCTCATTCGCTTTTGGGATTGTAAAGCGAAATCATATGCCATACTTTGCAAAATCTAGGTTTAGAATAGGTATTACACAAAACCTCAAGGATTCCAGTGCAAATGTGTGCCAAAAATTAGTGGGAATCAAATTTAAAGAATGTGTGAATCAAATAACATTTGATGCGAAAGTAGTTGGATCCCACGCAAAGATCTCTTCATTTGACATCAAGAGAGATGACGAACTGCTTGTGTGGTTTCCCGTGAAGTACAATCGAATACTCCTCAATGAGTATCGAAGGGCCTCTTTTTACATAAATTTCGAAGGTCGGCACAATTATGCTCAATACCACAACTTAACATAAGTGTGAATTGATTGAACAAAATTACTTGGATGACCAGTGTAATCAAGAACAAGTGTGAGGTTGGATAAATTTCAAATTGACTAGAATTCAAAAAGATATTCAGACGAAAATCATATTCCATAAAAAATAAGATCTGGATCCCTTTGGGCAAAAATGTCTTGGTTAAAGAAAATTTTGTCAAGATCACGCATAACGAAAGGAATATGATTTTGAATATCGAAAAGTGGTATTGAAACAAATGTTTCGTTATAATCTTGAACATGATGTTCACCGTCAATTCCTTAGAAGTTGGGATTGTTGGGTTTCACCATCATCACAGAAAAATGAATCAGGATCATAAACACAGAGTGGTGCAATATCTATATTCTGATTGGTTTCTACTAGATATGTCGAGGATATGCAGTGATGTGTGTGTAACGCCCCATTTCTGGTATGTGATTTAATTAAAGTAATTTTCATTTCTTAAAGGGGTACTCGACGAGTCTGTAGCCCGACTCGTCGAGTAGAGACGGGATTTGCACGCGGTTTAAGTTGGCAACTCGACGAGTCCATATCCTCGGACTCGGCGAGTCTGCCAGTCTGGATGAAACCCTAATTTCAAGGGTTTGCACCCTATTTAAACGTTATTATGCGCCCCAAAACAGCCTCCATCACCCTCAGAACGTCCCTTACTAAACCCTAGCCTTCTTTTAAGCATTCTTGGGATATTTCTCATTTTGTGGAGGATTTTGGTGTATTTTGAAGTTAGAAGAAGAAGGGAGAAGAGGAGTTCTCAAGAGAAGCAAAGAAGATCTGAGTTTATTGTGTCATTCCAGCTTCCATTAAGCCGGGGAGTTCCGGAGCAGCAGTCAGACAGTTTCAGATTTAGCATCTCAGCAGCCAGCATTACGAGGTGAGTTTCCTTCCAGTAGGAACGGGTCTACGACCACAATGCCGACCCGTTTAGTTAGCAGTAGTTCCGGACTTCGGTCCGATGCAGTAGTTCAGTGTGCTTGATATCTTTGTGATTCAAGCATGTCTTTGTGTTATGTGTTCCGGACTTCGGTCCGATGCAGTATGCAGTATCTGTGTTTATGCTAGTAGTTCTGATTATGCTATGCTATGTTCAGTCAGTTCCGGACTTCGGTCTGATGCAGAGGGCAATGCCCTGGTCAGTTTCGAACTCCGGTCCGATGCAGTTTCCGGACTTCGGTCCGATGCAGAGGGCAAGGCCCTGGTTAGTTCCAGACTTCGGTCCGATGCAGAGGGCAAGGCCCTGGTTAGTCCCGGACTTCGGTCCGATGCAGTTTCCGGACTTCGGTCCGATGCAGTGGGCAAGGCCTAGTAGTTGCTTTATATGTTATTGTATGGTATGTGTAGTTTGGGGGAGCTCACTAAGCTTTGTGCTTACAGTTTCAGTTTTTGGTTTCAGGTACTTCCGCTAGTAAGGGGAAGAGCTCGGGATGATGGCATCGCACACACCACAACTTCAGTTTTATCCTGGGAGTTTTATTCAGATATTTTGATATGATTGATACAGTATTTGTTTTGACACAGTTACTTGACTTTTGAGTTACTCATTCTATGGTTCTTAGTACGTATGTCATTCGTTTATGTGATTTTTAGTAATATTAAAACAAAAATTTTTGGGTCGTATTTTGGGATGTTTCAAGTTGGTATCAGAGCCTTGGTTTGAGGGATTCAGGCACACTCTCGGGTGTGACTGGGCTCAAACTAAGGAAATGGTAAAAAGATTTTCAAAAGAAAAATGTTTTCGAAAGAATTTTTGAAAAAGAAAAGAGTTTTGAAAAAAAAAGGAAAATGGTGTGGTGCATGCGATCAGCCGAGCTCAAGTACGTACTCCCAAATTACCCATACAAGTTTGCGTTATGAATATCAGTTTCAGTTTCAGTAGAACAGCATGCTAGAATAGGACTAAGGATCTAGGAGGATGCCTTATGTGCCTGCTTTATGTGTTTCAGCTGTATGAGAGTTGCATGCTAGTATTGAGTAGACAGCAGTAGGATAGCCTGTTTAGGTTATGCCTGATAGTATGAGCTTAGCATTGTATGCTATTACAGTTTCTCTTCAGAGGTTACTCGCACCATACTTGAGCAGACTCCTGTGATCTTCGGTTCGATCAAGGAGGGTATTTTAGAGCTGATGGACGAGAGGTTGAGCACCTTCCGTGCTGAGGTGGCGGCCATGATGGGGTCGCACACACTCACCTTCAGAGAGTTCCGGGCTTGTGGAGCTCTAGATTACCATGGGGCGCGGGATCCCATTGCGAGTACCAGGTGGTTGGCGGATGTCGCCAATGCGTTCCGCACCAGCAGATGTCCCGAGGGGGACAAGGTCAGACTAGCATCCTGTCTTCTGAAGGACAGGGCACGAGATTGGTGGGAGGAGATCGGGCATGTCATCGGGGATGACGCAACGCTTGATGCGATGACTTGGGCTGATTTTACTACCAGGTTCAGAGCCGAGTTTGCACCGGTTATTGAGGTGCAGCAGTTAGCCAGGGAGTTTCAGGATCTCACCCAGACTACAGAGACAGTGGCGGAGATTACCGCCAAGTTCAGGGAGAGGGCTCTTCTCGTTCCTTAGTATGTAGCTGATGAGGAAATGAAGAAGGCCCGTTATGATGAGATGTTGCAGAGTGATATCCGCCAGTTTGTGAGCCGGTCCAGCTGTAAAACGCTGGATGATATGATTGCGAGGGATCGTGAGAGAGAGATAGATTTGGAGATGGAGAAGAAGAGGAAGCCGGAGGCGGTATCTGGCATAGGGAGTTCGGGCAAAAAGCCCAAGGTATCAGATCACAGATCTAGAGGACAGCAGAGCCACAGTCGGTGTGGCAAGTGTGCGAGATTGCACGATGGGGCGTGCAAGGCAGGTAGTGCCGGTTGCTATAAGTGCGGCCGGACCGGGCATATGAGTAGAGATTGTACAGCTACTACCACCACCACCACATCAGCTGATCTGATTTGTTTCCACTGCAATCAGAGGGGACATAAAAAGTCCCAGTGCCCGAGTTTAGCCGCAGCAGGGAAGGTGGCAGCACTTGCCCCTGCTACTTTGAGGATTACAGACGGCCGTCATGTGATATCCCCTAATTTCTCGGCCAGAAAAGACCGATTTAATTTATGCTTTTTAAAAAAAAATCAGAGAAATCTTTTCAAAAGATGTTGCGGAATAGGTCCCCAAAATAAATCATGATAAAAGTTTATCAAAAGCCTTCTTTAAGAAGGTATATATTTTCCATATATATCAAAACCTCGGGATGTCATGTTCTGATACAGATCAAAAGCATAAACAAGACATTATAAGCCTTACTACAGTTATTTACAAGTACTGGCCTATAATAAAAAATCTCTCATCGTCCTTCGACTATGCTCGGGGTCCACTACCTGTAATCATGAAAAGCTGAGTGGGTCAGGCTTGGGAGCCTGGTGAGCATATAGGGTTTTCAACCCACAATAATAATAACTTA